TTGCAGTTTATCTTCGAACACGTAAATGATTATGTTAGATTACTTCGATTTTCAATTTCTTCGGAAATCTTTACCGGATGCCTACTCCGATGACATCATATATACGTGGGCAATAAAATATCTTTAATGTTATCATTTTACTGTGCTTTTCTACTTATTTGGAGATAACTGTATTAGTGATAATTTTTTAGATACTCGTATTTAGCGCTAAAAGTAAAACGAAATGAGAATAAAGAAAAATCTTTTTCCTAGAGATCAGATAATTTTAATAATGCTATTATAATTTATAATTATACAAAAAAAAAAATGTTTTTGTAATAATAAATGTATTTATATAGGTTCATAATATTTCATATCAATTTAGAATTCTCAGTATGAAGTTAGTATTTATACATTATTATGTAGAAGAAAAATAAAATATTTTTACTCTACCATGTATGGCGCATTATATAGGCTTGCACTTGGCTGATTTAATTTTATTTTTACCCGACTGCAATGAAAGGATTGTATTTTTCGCGCCTATCCTTGTATGTTTGTTTGTTTGTTTGTTTGTAATATTCTATGTTCCCTCATATCTTCCAAACCAGTCGATGGATTTCTTTAATTAAGGTATCGTTAGATTCGTTTCATCCTTGCCGCGAGATGTAAATACTCGTATGTATGTCACCGACTGTATACCTAATACTATATTCCATCGTGAACTTGTTTTTAATCTTTTTAGTTAGCTTTTATGCAGTCGGGTTTTTTATTTTTATAATATATTCATCTATTTTTTAACTTTATTAAAATGTAATTATTTTTATTCTGTTTTTTTTATTTAATTACTTATGTAATAAATAATTTTAAACGAAAATCAATACATTATTGGTTCTTTCGATTACGAGCAACAGCAAACTCTTTCTTATTCTTTACTAGCGACTCACCCTCGCTTCGCTCGGTTTTGTCCCTAGGTACGTTTTAAATTAAAATGGATATAGTATGTTATCCTTAAGAGATAGACATATGCCATCGCGGACTTTTCTGTAGAACTATATAAGATACACAACTCCACCATACATTATTTTGTTATATCTCAAAGGGTTTAGGCAGCGTTTTCGTTGAAAGATTCCAGACGTCTTATTTTTTCCGACACCTCCAACGAATATCGTTATATTTTAGCCAATGTATACAAAAACTTAACAAATTATATACTAAAACTTTCCTCTTGAATCACTCTATCTATTAAAAAAAACCGCATCAAAATCCGATGCGTAGTTTTAAAGATTTAAGCATACATAGGGATATAGGGACAGAGAAAGCGACTTTGTTTTATACTATGTAGTGATGAGGTCGAAATCTTGCTCGAGTGCAGTTACATAGGGTATTTGTATTGGCTATTCATTTATTTCAATTTAATAAGACAAATGCACAAGTTTCAAAATTCGGCATTAAATTAAAAGCGATTATTCCGTGTTGTCGTAGGTGTCTTCATGATTTTTTTTGTACACAAAACATTAATTAATTAAAAAGTTTTTATACCATTAGGTGTTGTATGTTCTGTAATATATAATACGTTATTATACAACTACCGTAAAAGGTTTATCATATTTATTTGTATTTTCCAACCGGTTCAACCACCTCGTCTTGTTTACGCCATGAACATGAAGTTCCTAGAAGCACTCATTATGGCATGAAACCATCATGACCATGGACACAGCCAGGCATACCTAAGCACTTATCGAATCAATAGCTATTGTGTAATGTGGCATATAATAATTTTGTAAGTATAATTAAATTAGTCATCAACATAAATGGTAGAGTATTTAAATCTGTTATATATATTACAGTCTAGTCGTTTAGGAATTAACGTGGTTGTTTTAACAATTAGGCAATGTTATATGAATGTTGATATTATATACTTATATAATACTAGCATTGCCCGCAGCTCCGCCCGCGTTCAGATGACCAAAAACCAAATTCTGAGGATTTATATTATATTTTTTACATTGTAGTTTTTGTATTTTTTTCTCAGAAATGAGACGTTTTCCCGCGGTAAAAAGTATCCTATATGTTAACCCGGATAACCAGATATCATCTTACCAAATTTCATCAAAATCCCTTCAGTGGTTTTTTCGTGATGCGGTAACAGACAGAGAGACAGACAGACAGACAAGAATTCTAAAAATTATATATTCGGCCTCTGTATCGATAATAATGCCTATTTCAATAAGATTTTTTATTAAATATTTAATGTACAGATTCGGCATAGTTACAATTTTATTATTATGTATAGAATATTAAAATGTATTTTTTATTATGTACATACATAATCAAAATAGGAATAAGTACATTGATTTCGTAAGCTTATCAGTTGAAGCGTTCATAGCTCTTGGAATTCAAAACCTCATTTATGCCAATGCCCTATATGTTCAGTCAAAGCACCAAAGCGGTCTACGGTACTAGCAATGCCTTTGAAACAATACTCGGTACACTAGTTCCGTCTCAAAGCGGACTTAGAAACCATTATCGGAATGAGTTCTGACTTCTAAGAATGTATACTCATCGCCAGTCCTTCAGTTAAATAAAGGTACCAAGAACAACGGTATGCTCTGAGAAATCGGTGCGGAGTGCGGAGTTCTGTGAACTGTATTGACCTCCTAAATTTGAAAAACCAGTATCTGTACCTGGAAGTTGTAGAAATTTAGTTAGATAAATAAAGCAATATTTTAAAGTATGTCATTACTAATTAGTAAACGGTAAAGTCGGAAAATGCTAAAAATCGTAAATATCTTTGTAAGAAAAAGATTAATCTGGGAATTGTCCCCAAGATCTTACTAATATTATAAATGTGAAAGTTTAAATGTTTGGATATCTGGATGGATGTTTGTTACTCAATCATGTCAGAGCGGCTGAACGGTTCTGGATGGAATTTAGAAAAGAGAGAGATAAAAAGTACGAAGCCTATGTGCTATTCCAGCACATAGGCTTCGTACTTTTTATCCCGGAAAAATGTACGGTTCCCGTGGGATAGATTTGTTTTTGTTTTTCTAGAGGCGAACCCGAGCAAAGCGAGGATAAGTCCCTACTTTAGAAATATTAAAGAATAATAAATTATTAAATATTTATCTGATTCAAAGTCAGATTTACATAGTTATAAAATTAGTTAAAAGTTTAACATTTAAATGTATTGCCAAGTGCTTTGGAATGATAAAATATATATTTTTTTAATCATAAATAGTAAATACAGATCTTTTTTCAAATATGATATTAAAATGAAATCCCATGTAAAAAAATAATATCAGTTAAACATTGAAAATGTTAATGATCTCATCATGTGTTAAGGTGAAATCGTATACTGAGAAATAATAAAACCAGTGGGTGCAATCGCAAATAACAGCTGCTCTTTATACCTACTTTCAGAGGGGGATTTTTCAATGCGCGTGTATATAATGTACGATATCAATAGACATTGTGATTGAGTTTTAGAATAAATCTTTATAAAAGATTGGGCAGCTGTGGATCAAATGTGTGCAACTGTACGAGCGGCAGATGGCTCATGGCTGTGAAAGCTTCGCAGGTAGGGGATTCCGAGAACGCCAAATATAATCGCTACGGGGAACTCGCTCTCTATGGCACGTTCGAATGCGAATTGAACACCTGCATATTTGTACATAATTTTGAGTAAAAACAAAATTTAGCCGAGTGTTATAGATGCGGCGGTTAACAAAACCAGTATCTGTAAGTAACCGTATTAACAGTTTGTCCATTATTTTAACATTCTACAGTCTCGATGACTATGATTTAAAATTTAGATACTTAAATGTTCTTTTTTAAAATATATTAATACTATTTTTAATTAGTTATCTATATCATTATAGTTTTCGTATAATCAATAGGTAAACTACAGTTTAGTTTATAGAGACATGTATGTAGCTTGTCTTAGAAATCATAAAAACTTTGGTTCGAGGAAATATTCGTGACTATAGGCGCACGCACAGTTACAGCGGAGTGAATCTACTCTGGTAACCGGGTCACGCGTTACTTAACGTATTTCGGTCGAAGCCGCTCTTTTTTGTTGGCTCTACTATCACTTTTGGTAATATAGTCTTCGACTCCTTTTCTTATAGGTACTATCCAATCTAATTCAAAGCCATTGTGAGATAATACATTTGTTACTACTTTTCAGTGATAAAAATGTAATTTAAAAAATATATTTGGATTTTATGTAATTATTATGTAAAAAAATATTTTTAGATCTACATTACAAAATCGATTTCTTCTCCAATAAAAAAATCCTTATTTAGCCGGAATGAAATGATTAGAATAGACATGAATGTAAGATTACGCAGAATCGTGCGCTACGACAAATAATACAATAGAATGAAGATAGCAAGCAAACGACTAGATAACTGGATAATTGTTGTTGGTTGGTGAATGAATTCTCGGAAGTAGTGAACGTTCGAGTTTCGTATCACTCGGGTGTCGTTGTCGCTCGCCACTCGGCTGTGTCTTCCGCAGATCCCCACCATAGAGTATATTGCTACACTTTTCGTTCGCGAGAACGCTCGTATTATACATCATACTGTTACAGTGTGTTGTTGCGATAACAACTTTACTTTTAGCTTCAAAAATCGGGAAAAGCATTAATAATTATATTCGAATATTCAGTGTTAAGGAGCAATTAATATTATTTTTTATCTATGATATCGTGGAGCAACACTACTGTCGAAACGAAAAATTTGGACAGACGCGAATTGTGGAATGTTTATGACAGTGTTAATTTTGAAGACTGACTTTTGTAGTTTTCTATTATTTTTAATTCTAAATAGGAGTAATAAAGTACGGACTTTTTAAGTGATTTTTAATAATTTATACATGAGTATAAAATATTTATATTATAAGTGACTAAAGGGAAGTAAAAAGTTCTGTGTTGTATAGAAATAAAGTGAATTAAAAAAATCGTGGCCTCTGGAGACGAGGTGGGTGGAACACGCAATAGTCCACCGAAAAGTGTACAGCAAATGTGCTTAGTTGAAAGGCGAGAAACAAAACTGAGTCCTTTAAACATGACGATAGCTACGAGGTTACCAACACAAAGTGAGTGGTAACAATTAACTAAACGATACTCTATACTTTCAGTAAAATAGTTTTTAGAAACTAGGTATTGCAACAGATAGTTTACATTTGATAATGATTATCTAAATAATAAGAATTGACGTTTAACTAAAAATATATTGTTATCTTTATTTATATAACTTATACAAAAATTTTCCTAGCTTCGCTACTAAAGTTATATAAATATTTTCTTAACATCGTTGTGTTAAAAAACTGAGTGGTATATAATATGCTTAGTCTTTTACTTTACCTAAGCTACTTATGACATCAATGTATTTTATACAAGTAACTTATAGCAGCTGATACACTTACATTTCTGCATAATTGCAGAAATACCTATTAAAAGCAATATCATATAGGGTTAAATAAATTGTATGTATATAGCATTGACATATCCCTTTAATTTATGTAATGAACATTCTAATATATTTTTATGAAGATATATTCTAAAAAAATATATAGTTAAATGAGAGAAATTAGTGTAACAGTATTAAAATTTGCATTTTCATTACAGATGCATGTGTTGAAGTGGGGGTGCCACTGAACAACTGGTCGACAGGAGTGGCTTGCTGTCCAAATTGCAGGCATGAACTCCGGGTATCATTGGCCTGCGCTAAGAGCCCCCATATACAACCAGTGACACCAGTCACTCCTCCCTTCACGCTCCAGCCAACATACTTGCCACATTCACCACTATATACTACACCTTCATCTCCTTTAATACCATCTCCATTTAATGATGAATTGAGACGTTTGGCTGAAACACTCAGAGCATTAAGATTATCTGGGTGGTACTATGGAAATTTGGATTGGCAGGTGTGTGTTTTGCATTTGTAGTTTTAATAATTTATATTAATAAAGACTCAAAGAGTATGATTTTTAGTCAAACATATAATATATAGTTAAAGTATTGAACTCTAATTATGCAACATGTGCTTGTTATTTTGTAGGATAAAATTATTGGCAGTGAAGTTTTTTATTTATGTGAATAAATTCTTTGCAGGGTGCTCGAAATTTATTAAAAGATGCAAGTGTTGGTGCATTTGTGATCCGAGATTCCGGTGACAGGAACTTCATTTTTTCACTGTCAGTACAAACTGAGAGGGGTCCAACATCAGTCAGATTACATTATGAACAAGGCTTCTTTAGGTAAGCAACAATATATAACTTGCTTTTCATTGTCAAGTAACATTTTTATCTAACAATTTTTTTCTGAGATGTTAAAAAGTGTATTGATACTATTCTTGTTCATTAATGAAGATAAAAAACTTAATTTATTATAACAACAAATAGTAATATCACTTATTTATGGTGTAATATGCATTATTTATGAGCCAATTGTTACTTTTTTATTGCATTAAAGATGAACATTTTAAAATTTTACCTTCAATATTTAATCAGTAATTAAATTAAGAAAAGAGTTACAGAATGAGTCAACATTATCAGAATGTAAAACCATTATTCATGTTATCAGAACATATATTATCACGTTTATCAATAAAAAATAATCTTAGCGCCCGCTATAATTTTTACTACTTGCACATATTTGATAGAAATAAAGTTCAAAATCATAAACTGGTGAAACTGAATGAAAAAGTTGAGTGAGTGAGTTACAATGAAAATATACAATATATCAAACTGCCTATTTTTATTTTATTAGTTTTTATAAATGTTTATTTTTGACTAAGGTATCAATAAAATTATTTCTGCTAATTTCTTACACAACAAAATGACTCACAAGTTAATGAAATCCCTTACAAGTAATAGGTAAATATTATTTGTCTTACATTCATTGGAATTTGTTTGTGAAACCAATTAAGTAATATATTGATTCATATTTTCTCACATATTAATGAAAATTGAAGCCATATCATACTTCTGAGTACAACTTTTGTAGGGTTAATTTGTTGACCTCATAGTTCACGTCATCGTGTTTGAGGTTGACGTAACAGTTTTAATATACATATGTATATGTTATATTATTCATTACATACGTTTATAAAGTGTTATAGAATTTAATAAGTATTTTATTAAATTTTTTTTTTTCTTTTCCAGGCTAGACTGCGATAGACCACTGGCAAGGTACATGCCTCGGTTTCGCTGTGTAGTGGAACTCGTGCAACACTACACTCGCGTGGGGGAAAGGGGGCCAGCAGGAACAGTCTGGGTGGACCGAGAGGGTTGTCCACATTCTCCCGTTCTCCTTAAAACACCCCTCAGAAAATCACCACCAACCCTTTTACATTCCGCACGTCTCGCCATACATAAAACGCTGGACTCGAATCCTCTAACACCAAAGCTGTGGTGCGCCCCAAAACACAGGCTTTTGCCCCTACCCTCCACCTTAATAGACTATCTTGGGGAATATCCCTATTCAATCTAACGTTCGAATCTGTACTTTAATCTTAGTCCAATCGCGTCTAACGATGCCTAGTGAAGATATTAGGGTATTAGAAAATTATATAAAACATAATGGAATATGGACTATGCATATGGTGTAGTCTGTGTACAAATGTATGTGCATATTAATGCTAGTACAGGATGCTAGATAAAGGGCAGGCTCCTTTTTAAATAACTAACAATTTTATTTTGTAATAGTTAAAATGTAACTTCTGTATTATTTATAAGTATTGAATATGGGACTCAACTATGGTATTTAGTGAGATGTTAATGCAATCTATAAGTCTACTGTCTGTATATAAAGTTTTGAATATAATGCAAGACTGACTTCCTTAAGCATCTATGAACAGTGTCATCAATAATGCATTACAATTAAAAACAGAAATGGTTAGAATTCTCAAATGTTAGCAATTTTGCATAAAAAAAGTTGTACATTGTCCGTGATTTCCAAAAATTATTGTAAACAAAATACAAATAGTAGTAAAAGGGCTTTTAAGAGACATATTATATAAATTACATATTTTCAATGATGTATGTATAGTGATGTAATAAATATTCGCATATTTTTTGACATCGCATTCGTATTCGAAAAAAAACCATGCGAATGTTTGGCGAATGTATTTGACAACAAAGGAAATTATGCATATATGGAATGATAATACATCTGTGCTTTACTCATGTTTTTATATCACTTTGTCACGTTGAAAAGGTATCATTTAAATTAAGTAGTAACCTCAAATTACAACAAATCTTTTCAAATTAAGTATGAACTTTATGTGACTAACTTTGTTTATTCGACCTATATCGGTTATGTTCGATTTAACGTTTAAACATGGCCGACACAAAATGTCAAACTTAACATTTTGCGCGCGCTGTATTTGAAAGTCAACATTCGCATTCGCGAATAATGGAGATGAATATTCGCATTCGCGAATGTAAAAAAACGAACATTCGTTACATCACTAGTATGTATATTGTATATATATAAACTCCACTATGTTCATTCTGTGAAGATATTCACGCATATTTGTTTTATTAGACAAATATTGACAGATATTCATGAATGCCTATCTTGTCCATTATATTAAGAAATCATCACACTATTTTGTAGAGTTATATTTTTAATTATTTATTTCTCAACTAATAAAAATAGGCTAATCGCTGATACTTACACAATTTTTATTATGTTCCTATCTTAAATAATTCTATGTTAAAATAAAAATAAGGAATATAATGAATCTTAAAGTTTCAGTTTCGAAAAGTAATTTATTAAAACATTTATCTTTAAGTAGTAATTAGAAAATAATAATAAAAGTATAATAAATATTATTTATTGATGTTCATATAACCACTTATTGAAAAATAAGATGTGCCATCAAACCACAACAAAAACTGGACTCTTTTTAGGCTCTTACATTGGAAGACATGCATATCAAGACTAAAATATCACACTCTACTTATATGCTTAGTTACATGTTTCATTTTTGCATTTCAGAAAATCTGTTTATTAGACTATTCTCATATATATATCTTGATCTTGAAATAATTCATTTTCAAGAAAAAATTGATACTGCATGTAATTTATTGTCTAAAACATATTTTATTTGAGGCTGAGTATGTACATAGTTGTTTTGTTTTTGTTGGAATAGTAAACATAAAATATTTAATTGTAATTTTATATATGAATAGTTCCAACCTCTTTGTTAACTTGTGTGCCTACTATTTATTTTTCTATTTAAATTTGTCATGTTCTATGTCACTGTAAAAAGTATTACCGGGCAATTTCTCTATTATTATAATTAACTACATTAGTAATTTGCGAATATTTCATCGAACGTCAATCCGAGTAAAATGGCTATGTCTAATTTACAAATTGAGGACGGGAAAATTATTCGACATGGAAGTTTGCGGTCAAATCTTATCTAGAACATGAGGATTTATGGGGCACCGATGTCGACTTAAAAAAAGATACAAAAGCCAAGTCAATATTCTCTGATTTTCTAGCAGCTTCTGGCATCAAACATCACACCAGCACTCCATACACGCCTGAGCAGAATGTGGAACGTGCAAAATGTATGTTATTTGAAGCAAAGTTGCATAAACAATTCTGGGCAGACAGTCACCGCTGCAGCTTATGTCATCAACAGATCACCATCACGAGTTTTGGATGAGGTAACTCCCTATGAAAAATGGACCGGTAAGAAACCGTTCTAAGGCCATGGTACATATTCCAAAACAAAACCGTCTTAAATGGGATCGTAAATCAAGAGAATTAGTGTTTGTGGGATATTGCGACAATACAAAGGGCTACAGATTGTATGATCCAGTAAATAAAAAGATTGTCCTTATCAAGAGATAATTGGTTGTCTATTGTATATTTCACAAATTACCAGGCCAGATATAAGTTTTGTTATAAATATGTTAAGTAAATACAATAACAAACCTGAAATGTCACACTGGATAGCCCTGAAGCGAGTTATGCGCTACTTAAAAGGCACTGAAAAGTATAGATTGAGTTATAAACAAAATTCGGAGGAGAATATGACTCATGGCTTCTGTGATGCAGACTGGGCAAGCTCGGAGGACGACAGACGTTCCTGTACTGGCTACGTATTCCTGTTTCAGGGAGGAACAATCAGCTGGAATTCTAAACGCCAGCCTACTGTTGCTCTGTCTACAACCGAAGCAGAGTATATGTCTTTGTCTTCATGTGTACAAGAGGCTATGTGGCTGAAACGAATAGTTCCAACCTCTTTGTTAACTTGTGTGCCTACTATTTATTTTTCTATTTAAATTTGTCATGTTCTATGTCACTGTAAAAAGTATTACCGGGCAATAAACGTTGTTAAACTTTCTCTATTATTATAATTAATTTCCTACAGTTTTCTTATTTATTTTTAAATGTAATTAGAATAAAAAGTCTTCATATTTCAAGTTGTATACCATGTAATGGTAGCTTAGTATAATGCATCTAGGGATTTGGCTAGTGACGTTCACTAATTTAGAATAAAACGTGTACCTTAATAATCTCAATTAGTGTAATATTAAGCTTCACAAATGTTTTGTTAGCAGAAAGGTGCAATTGGTGTCCATCTCAATGTAATATGCATTTTAATTTTGTTCTCATATTGTTAAATAAATATAACTATCAACAAACTTATTTTTATAGAATTTCTGTAAGGAGTAAAAGGCACCAATTAAGTAAATGTGTGACATAATAGAGAAATGTGTTTGTTTCTAGACTAATGTATGAAAAGAACTGCAAATAATTTATATACAAAATATATACATTCGGCCTTTAACTTGTTGTTTTATTATAGTAATATCTGAACACTTTTTATTAAATTTTACATTAAGGATAAAGAATAAAAGAGTAGTGTAAATGACATTTAAAACTAGTGATTAGTGATCAAACAACTACGATTAATCGCAATCGACATTTCACGATAAATCGTAATCGTCGAATCATGATTATCTAGTGATTATTTACGACTTATATTTTTAAAGAAATTATTCCTATTGTAATGTAACACACTCTTTAAATGCATCGACAGATTCATTCATACATTGCTTCAAATTGAAGAAAAAGAAGAAGTTTGAAATATGTTTTCTGAATAAAAAATCAAAATTTATTATTACGATGTCGTCAGCGAAGGCTTGCACATGTACGCCAAATTTTTCGACTTCAGTCAGGAGTGCGTCTAAGAGTACGTTCCAAAACGTTGGCCCGGCTATTGAGCCCTAGACGCATCCTTTTGTTGTTTGTGCTAGGTGCTCTTCTCCGGCGTATCGAACCGCTACTGTGTGGTTTGTTAAGTAGCTCGCTACTAGCTTTAGTAGGTTTTGAGGGCAGTTCTTTTCGATGAGACCACATTTTATGGCAGGCCACCAAGCGCTTTCAAAGGCCCCCTCTATATCGAGATATATCACAGTGACAATCTTTTGTTTTGCGATGCCCTCCCTGATATGATTTATCATATCGTAGAGGGAGTTTTCAGTGCTGCGCTGGGGCATAAAACCATACTGTCTAGTATTTAACTTAGGCAGTATGTGCCACGTAATCCTTTGAACCATGGCCTTCTCCAGCATCTTGCCTAACAGCGGTAGCATCCTATTGGTCGGTACGCCTTAGGATTGGCGTAATCGCCTTTCCTGGGTTTCCGTAGGATTACTACCGTTGCCTTCTTCCAAGGTGTTGGAAAATACGATAGTTCTAGGCACTTATTTGCGATCTCATGGAAAACATCTGGATTTGCGTCTAATGGCGCGTTCTTTATGGGCAAGCCAAACTACGAACTTCCTCTTTTAATTTAGGCATGTGTAAGTTATGGTGGATTTCGTCATTAGTAACGAACCACGGTACGTTAGATATTGTACGTAGAATTATGTTTTGCATGTTTTGGAGAATTATAATAACTATTGGAGTCACATGCGCTACCCCAGAGTTAGCGACGTATGCCCATGTTGGTTTTAATATTGATGTATAAATCGGTAATTTGTTGTCTACCGACAATTTGGAATTTTTACCCAACAGCCAGTGGAAGTGTTTGTAACGGATGTTTAATTCATCTCTTTTGGTTTTTATGTGATTTTTGCAAGTCATTTTCCTGTCACGATGCAGACCTAGGTATTTTACATCATCCTTGTGAGGCAGTGTATTCCTACCCTAGTTAACTGACGGACAGTTACCATGTTTAAGAGTGAATGTTACTTGTACTGACTTATTTGCATTGGCTTTTTTCCTCCAGTTTTCAAGCCAAGCATATATTTTATCTTATCCCTGTTGCAATAATGAGGAAGCAGAAACAGCATTTTTATCACTTGCCAAGACAGCTGTGTCATCTGCAAATGTTGCAGTGGGTTATAAACTTAATTTAAGCTAATATTATTATAATTATTTATAATATTTTTTATTCAATAATATTATTTAGTGTTGTTATTACAGTGTAACTTCGATGTAACAAATCGGAAGGGAACAAGTAAATATTTGTTATATCATGTAAGTCATTAAACTGAGGTTTGTTATGTTGAGGTTAAGCTGGTCTAAAATTTGTTAGAAAAAGGTAATAAAAACTTTTTAACAAAAAATAAAACCGACTTCCAGGCACTAAAGTGTAAAAAATAACTGAACGGAGGATTTCATTTAGAATAGATACCTAATCAGATATTTTCGAAGTCAGTGCCTGCCGATGCAAAGCAAATCTAATGTATTTCAATACGTGAAATACATGTTTACCTCTTAGATATTCATATCTTAAAATATTGTAGGCTGGCACCGACTTCTTATTAGCTTTAAGAGTCAATTTTAACCTACTTCTAATCGCCGTATCGAAAAAAAACATTGTAGTTCGAGTGATAATACTATAATTTGGAATCTTGGAGCTGATTGGATGATGATGGTGCTCCTATAGTAAACCCCTCAATTTGGGCTCATGTGATTCGTTTGGACGAGTCCTATGCATTTCATTTCGTTAAAAGCGTGTTTTTTTTGTAATTAAGTATTTTATAATGTTTTGAGCAATATGCTTAGTATGTAACCTATTTAGATCCTAAATATTTTTAGATTGATGACCCATTGATGTTCTCCTAGCCGATTCCGGCTACGGCGGCCAATCTCATTGAGACTAGCCAACTGCGCAGGAGATATTATAGTGCACAAGTGTACGCGCAGACACAAGTGTACTCTCTATTCCTGTCACTCTCATACTCCAGTGGGACGACTGCTCGACACGACCAGTGAGAGTTAAGGCGCTGGACCGACGGCTTTACGTGCTCTCCGAGGCACGGGGGTGAAACACCGCCAACTTCCCAACTCCGGGCTGTTACTGAGACTTACTATACAGAAAGACTCAATAACTAAACTTGGCCCGACCCGGGACTCGAACCCAGGACCTCCGAGTGTGTAGCCGTTCATGCTTGCCACTACACCACCGAGGCAGTTATTAGATGACCCATTATTAACTCTAAGATTGCACCCTTCGGTCCCTTCATTTTATATTTTTACATTTGGCAGCTCTAAATTATAATGATTAGGGATGTTCATGTAAAAAATATCGATATTTATTTTTGATATAATATATCGTATTCTTGTATCGATAATTTGCGATATATCGTATAAATATATCGATATTTTCGATATATCGTAAGTCGTAGGTTATTTGTTTGTATTTAACTAGTCTGTAATATTAAATATTAAGTAGGGATCAGGTTAATATGAGTAAAAACAGTTAGTGAAGAAACAAGACATTTTATTTATTTATTAATCCCAATACTTTTTCTCTAGACCTTGCAGAAACAAAATTTTACTAAAGTGCTGAGTTAAAATAGCCGTTTTTATACATCGTTATACACACTTAACTATATTTACATTTCGTAAACTGTATTAAACAAAACAAACAACTTTTATTTATACTTTATAGGCTATTTTGTAATTTGTACTGAGAAGTGAGAACGATGAACGAAGCGGAAGTCGAAACTCGGATTTCGGAAGCGAGTGAGACTCGAGGCACAGACACACTACGTGTTACGAATACAGTCACAGATTATAAAATTTTTACTACTACTTGTTTATTTTCACGAAAAGTAGGAGACTAGTTGTCATTTTCGTGTCTTTGTGTTCCGTTATTGCGAAGGTTAGTTTTTTAATAATTCGGGGTTTTCCGTTTCAAGTCTGCTTACAAAGTTACAATCCTTTTTCTTATTCAAGTTGCCATCCATACATAAAGGAATCAGTATTATAAAAAAAGAAATTGAATGAGCTTTCAATTTCTCACGATATTTGATATATCGGATGAAATATATCGATGCATAATATCTAGATACTATATGATTCGATAATATCGGGTTGAAGCGATATATTATCGCGTACATATATCGATATTTTATGAAATATCGATATATATCGTGCACTCCTAATAATGATTGATAAACGTGAAACGTCAACCGACCTAGCTTGTTATTGATTTTATTTATATCAATAATGTATTTTTGAATATTTTCTTTAAAGTAAGAAATGTAAGGCGCACATTTAAATAATCCAGTGTAAGCCATGTCAGCTAATGGTAACGGCGCCAACTATGCCCCTTTGAAGCAAATAATATCAGACTCAGAATCAGAAGACGATCAGAAGCTGGAAAATGCTGTGCACATCAAAGCTTCAGACAGTTGTAATAATTTGGACTATAATAGTGGACTTCACTCATCCAAGAATTATAGCATGAGTGATATGGACGACTATAACACTAACGAGAAAACTGTAGAAAGTACTATGGACAATGTAAGCTTTTTACAGTCTGATATGTCGAATAAAATGTCATTTTCGCGGCGTTGTGCGTTTATTGCATCAATTTTTGTTTGCATTTTTACTGTGATCATATTTTTATGGGGTATACCTTGCTCAGATGTAGGGGGATGCGCTAATAATGACTGGCAAGATAGAACTACAAGTTGGGAGATTCCTTATGATGAAATTGAATTGTCTGGTGCGGTTCAAGTCGTTGACGGTGCTATACCCAACACAAAAAACCTTATTTTTATATATCGTGGCAATCATATGAAAGAAGAAAAAAATTCAAATGATAATGTCAATGGAGTTTTGTTAATAGTCGGCGATACTGGTAAAGTTGGCTGGTATACAAGAGAAGCCAGAATACCAACTGAAATTAATTGCCATCTCATTGATGTGAATAGGGATAAACAAAAAGATTGCATTGTATCTGGTTCAGAAGGATTACTTGCAGCTCTGAATCCTTTATCAGGAACTTACTACTGGTATATTCTTAAGCAAGGAAAGATTTTTAGTGATATTGCAGCAATTGACTTTCCAATAGTTATAAAAGATATGGATAAAGATAAAGTGAATGATCTTATGACCGTTGCTACTATGTACCCAAATACTAATCACAATTCATTATTGATAATATCAGGAGCTACTGGAAATATTATTGGAGATCCCATGACAGTTGACGACTGCCTATTGGTAAAATTGTTGACAGAATCAGATCCTATTACATATCTATGCAAAAATGGTACCTTTGAGGCTGTAAGGCAGATAAAATATCCTACATTATATAGAAAGTTATTAAAATTAGACCAATCTGTAAATCACTCTGCACCCATATCAACTGTGTCTAAAAGAGTCAACTTAAGTTTGAAAAAGAGTACAAGCAGTACAAATAACTGGGAAATATATGCCAACGGACCAGGAAAACTAATAGTTGAGAATTTTGGTGAATGCCCTAATTCGTGTAGAGTCAACCTAAAGTTATTACTAGAGAAAAATGGTACAACAAATGTTAGTTGGGAATACTCTGCAAATCATGTATATGCAATGAAACCTAGCTCATTTGCCTTTGCAAATTCCATCAGAGGCTTTGTTCTAAAATTATGACAGTGGAACAGTGCACACCTGGCAAAGGGTGCACTTAAAATTGATGAGGTATTGTATAATGTACAAAATCAAAGTCCCAAAAATACAAATGACATCTTCTATTACCGACCAGCTATAAATGTTGCATCTATTTCATCGTTTATCAAATATGCCAATTTTACAGCCCATGATATTTCTGAAAGAATTGTTTTGGTATCATTTGATAATTTACAAACATATGTGCATGTCAATGTTAGCCAAACTGATATTGTCCAGATTTGTGTTAGAGGATCCATTGATGCTGGAGTGCCAATACCAACATGTCAACCAGATTTAGAATATCAGGAAAAGTCATTAGTCATTGCAGATCTAGATGGAGATGAATCTCATGAATTAATTTCATATTACAGCACATTTTTGCCACCAGAATCTTATTCCCCACAGAAATCTAACCCATATGACAATTGGAGATTGACATCAATCGTGAGAGTAATTAGACTGGAATCTGAACTACCAAAGTTATTTATGTCTGATAGTAATTAATAATCAATTTTTAATGTGTTTGTTTTTTTAAGATATTTTTTTGCCAAATGCTCTGCTTGCTATATTTAAAGCTCAAAAGTAGCTAAATTTCACTAAAAAAAAAAATTATAAATACACAATATAATTATGAAAATGTAAATAAGCTTTTATAAAATCAACAATGATTTCTTTAATCCCATAAACTATACCATTATAATAAATAAAATTTGTAATCTAAATAGCAGATCTAGGAGCCTTGTTTCATAGCTTGTAACACTGTTGTATAGGCACTTGATTAACAAACTTTTGATGACTTTTAAAATTATATTAGTATTTTATAAATAATATAGCTGATTCAAAAGCTACTATTTAATATCAAGAAATCTTTCGATCCTAGTTCTGCTGTTAATTAAATGTGTAGTCATTTTTGCTATTCTATTACAATTAAAATCTATGTGTTCAATGTTGATATCATCAAAAATTACTTATACTGTTAAAATTAAATTTCAAATCTTATATTGACTGTTAGAATAATGTTTGTATTTCTGCTTTAAAATGTGGTTTATGATTTGTTGTGTCCAATACAGATAATATTTATGGAATAATAAATAAGTGAAAATTTTAACATAATTTTATTTAGTTGATGTGCCTGCTGTTTTATATATGCCAATTTAATTATTATTCTCAAATAACGAGAAAGATATAAGGAACAGGATATGGAACAATCAAATTCAACCTAGTGTCAGTCAATGGATGAACGGCTCTCTGCACTGCACTGGAAAGTTATTCTCATCCCAGGTTTAAAAATTATTTCGTGCTCTATCTTAGTCTGAAACTTTTTAGTCCTATATGCCTGCAATTATTTCTACACATTCAATCACGGTATTGCTCGGATTTGTAAGAAAACTACGCCATCTAGTGACAAAAAGCGACACATTTGTTAATAGTGTAAAATTTGGTGTTAGCTAATTAAGGATTAAAGTTAATAACATTGTTAAATTATTGTAAAAAAATAATGTAATAAAACTAAAGTTATCTTTTTCTTACTGCTTTCAAATAACTATCAAAATATAATATTTAAATAAATTTCAGTCTGTTAAAATTCTTATGTAAGCTCAGAATGGTGAATTCATTTGAAAAAAAATAATAGAACACCTATTCAGTGCAGTTTTCTCATTATTTGTTTTTATTTATATTTTCCATTTCTAAATCAATTTTTTAAATAGTACTTTTTTAAATTCAGTGTTTCGCTTTAAGTGGTAGCCCTGAATAAGTACAATGTTTTTTTTAATTAGTAGGTACGAGTAAACTTAGTTTAAGTTTTTTTAATTAGTAGTTTAGGCTTTAGTACTCGGTTACATGTGCCTTAAAAGAGGCTAAGTGAATTGTTTTATAGATAATTTAATTATTAAATTTAATTGTATTGTTATATCTTATAGAATAAATATTATACTAATGTAGAATAAAACTATAATATACAAGGAACTAGTTTATTTCTGTTCGATCCACAATATTTTTAAAAACAAAATTAACAAAAATATCAAGTACATATTTATTTTAAAATGTAATTTGAAAACAAGGCTAAAATAACTGACATTCAATTGGGGACAGTTAATTTTTTAATATATATAAACTGTCATATTATTTATGTGTATTATAACAAGCACCAAAGGTTACAAAAAATTGGAGATTGTCTTTTATAATTATTACAAATAATATTTTACAGATTAAAAAATATACATCACTTCGCACTTTTAGGCGACTATTAAAAGTATAACTTACTTGCTTATTAATTGGCACTAAAATTACGTTTATACACTGTTCATAGTCATTTTACTCATTGTTTTCTTATACAATATATTTAACCCGCTACATAAAAATGGAAAGATATTATTTTAAATGTTTATTTTTTTTTTACAAAACAACAAATCTTTGTATATCACATGGAAAATGATGAATGTAAAAATAAATTAAATTTTAAAATATCTATTACGTATAAGTCTAACCAACCAATATAATAATTTAAAAAACTAGTTTTTGTTACTGGTCGAAACGAAGTGTTGAAATTTTTAACCCATGACGCAAAAACGACGGGGTGTTATGTGACGTGTCTGTATGTGGCATCGAAGCTCCCGAACGGATGAACCGATTTTGATTTTGTTTGAAAGATTAGTCGGGAGTGTCTTAGTTGTATTTGATGAAAATCGGTTCATGATGGTCGGGGTTTTTTAAATTTTTAATTTAATTTAGTTATAACAATGTATTCTTTTTTTTAATTGGGCAATTGATAGTTGACACAAGCAATCAACTGACATACTTTTTATGAGCTTTTAAAACGCGACTCCCCAAACATTTTTGATGGCAATAGCAACCTGTAATATCACTATTTGCCAACTCAACTGACATACTATTTATTGATTTAAATTATTAGGGGTTCAGGGCTGAAATAAAGTGCTTACTTAGAGAAGTTTCGGTTGAATGGTGTCATCAACATCTATACTTAAATATGTATTGCAAAAGCAAAATTAGTTTAAGAAACAAAAATATATAAGGTGTCAAATACGGAACTCAGCAAGGCGAAATCATCAATCACTGTCTATATTACACACAAGACCGTTTTCTCCCTCAAGTACTGAGATTGTTCTGCGCATGCGTGGGCATTGCACTCACTAGTCACACCTCTATAGCATACACTAGGCGCGCAAGAGATAGAAATAATACTTAGATTTACGCGAATATTTGACATTTTAAACATAACTATTTTTTCGGTTTTTGTTCGCGGATTTCTTTTGATTTTTGGCTCCCGACGGTTTAAAGGAGAGACTAAGGTTTTAGACTTTTAATGGTCATTATATAGTTGTTACAGACAGCACCTCTCCCGTGACCATAATTGCTGTAAAGCATTCGAAACGTCGAAAATTAAAATAAATCCACGAAAAAATCCGAAAAGATAGTTGACCGAGCGAGAGAAGCGTCTCTGATTCAAGTCTGTTGCAAAATTTGCTTTCCTCTGTCAGTTTTTTTGGTACTCCTCTACAGGTAGTATTTTACAAGCGATGTGGTCGAAACTTTAGTATACAGGTTTTACGGCTTTATAGAATGTTTTCGACCTCGGGGTTTTTTGATTAGAGGCGTGCTTTTTTCAAAAAGGGGCAAAAAGGGGGCCACTGGATATCTCCGCCGTATGAGAACCGATTTCGATGGTTTTTTTTATTTGAAAGGTAAGGAACTTTAGGTTGGTTTTATAAAAATTTGGCGAAGATCAGAATATGCGTGATGAGCAGAATAGCTCCTCAAAATGCAGTTTATGCTCGCAAGGTCTACTGTTCGCAGAATAGCTCCTCAAAATGCAGTTTATGCTCGCAAGGTCTACTGTTCGCAGAATAGCTCCTCAAAATGCAGTTTATGCTCACAAGGTCTACTGTTCGCAGAATTTCTAGTTTTATTCGAGATAAAAATAGTCATTCGTCATCTTACTAACTCTCTAACACTCCCCACACATGTGTGCTAGCATTTTAGCAGTATTATATATACTTATTATATATGTATTTGCACGCTTGTAACATAGATATAATTTTTTTGTCTAAATGACATTTACGTAATATAATCTTATATTTATTTATAAACTTATTTGTTGTGGTAACAATAAGTGAAATACTATGTATTTTAAATAAAAATAATACAATATTCGTGATCTTATTTATATTTAACTCATGCACTTTTTAATGTGTCACATACGTTGTGCTTTTTGAATGTTACTTTCGATTTTACAAAGAACAAATATGAACTAGTCAGCCTTTTATTTATATTAATTAAAAAGATAATAAAAGCTAATAATTCTATGTGCCGACACAAAATTATATTAACATAATTATTTGCTTCAAAGGAGATTCGAATCTGCACTCCCCTGGCAAGCCAATCTGGCTTCATCATCGCATTCTGTTTTAAAAGAAATATTTACACTTTTATTATATCACTTAGAGCTAGTTTATGTATTTTATTGTTTTTTTAGGGCACCACTATTTTCTGTTTGCCGCCTTTGTCTTCCTCTACGGAGTAAGGCTTCAAATTGACATATTCACTGGCGGCTAACTGTTCGGAGATACTGTAATCGCTTTCGTCGAACAGTTCCACCACCACTTCATCATAATCTTGACATCTACAACAATAGTATAAATATATCGATACGAATATTATATGTGAAAGTGTGTTTGTTTGTCCTTCTTTCATGTCGAACGGAGTGACGGCTTGGTGTGATTTTTTGGATGGAGACTATCACATTTCTAAGGGAAAACACGTTATAATACAACCCACAACTCATCAAACCTATGTAACTATATACGTTATACATACATATATAATATTGTCTGTTCCATATTAACTGTTAAAACGCACCTAGAGACGAACCCGAGCGAAGCGAGGGTGAGTCGCTAGTAAATATATATTGACTAGCATTGCCCGCGGCTCCGCCCGCGTTCAGATTACCAAAAACCAAATTCTTAGGTTTTACATATTAGTATACTCTTACAATGTAGTTTTTGTATTTTATCTCAAAAATGAGATATTTTCCCGCGGTAAAAAGTATCCTATATGTTGACCCGGATAACCAGCTATCACCATACCAAATTTCAGGAAAATCCCTCCTGTGGCTTTTTCCTGATGCGGTAAGACAGACAGACAGATAAAAATTCTAAAAACTATAGATTCGACCTCTATATCGATAATAAATGTCTATTTCAATAAGATTTTCCAAAAAATATTTCATGTACAGATTCGGCTTAGTTACAATTTTATTATATGTATAGATAAAAACTAAAACACCAGAATATTACATGGACTGGTATTTTTTGAGGTCTCTTAATTATATTATTTTTTCATAAGAGATATTTCGCTAATTTTAATTGAATATAATACTCAAGAAATAACGTTTACATTATGACTATACTAAGATTTAATACTATAAATTGACAATTTTTCCACTTTGAAACCGGCACAACAAGTATTTGAAGTGTGTACACGAACAGGTATTACCTGAGTCAAATTTGTATAAGTTTGATAACTAATTGAATAAACTTGATTTCGTTCAAACTCACATAACATGCATTTGTAATGTCCGTTCGTGTATCAGCTGTGTGAGGGCCGCCTTGGCGAGGGCCCACTGCTGGAAGTCCTGGCTCCTGGCCTCGACGCCGGCGAGCACGCAGCGCACCGCCTGCGCCGCCAGCGAGCAGAAACGGGGCTCCAGTTCCGCTATAGCGTCCTCTTTCACCCAAAACACTTGTCCGTAGTCTATGTATAGGACCTGGTATATGAGATAAATATAAATAAATATAAATATATGTTGGGACATTAACACACAGCACCATCTAGTTCCATGGTAAGCTACGAGGCTTGTGTTATGGATACCAGATAATCGATACACTACACATATATACCTTTAAATACATACATAATATCAATATAAACACCCATGACTGGAGTACAAACGTTCGTGCTCATCACACAAATGAATGCCCCAGCGGGACTCGAACCCGCGACCGCTGGCACAGCAAGTAGAACCACTACAAACTGAGCCAAACGTTTGTCAAGATTGAACATTATTATTTAAAAAAAATTGGAAAAAAGTGCGTGTGTGAAAAATGACACATGGTAGAAGTGAAACTTATATATTTGTCAAACAATAACAACGGTTTAAATGGCAACATGGCAAAGTATTCTATCTCATTCTCTCGCTTAATTTTATATATTTATGTGTTTGTCTCTGTTTAGTGTCGCATTTCCGTTTCATCGAGTTTCAAATCACAACGATTCTGAAGAAGTTTCACTTAAAAAATAAATTGAAAACTTTTTTTGATTGGATGGATTGAAAGTTGTATCATAACAAAAATTAACAACAACCTCACCAGTATTGTAAGTTAGGGATGATGGGGTTTAATTATTTTTTTATTTTATATTGCGAGAATATTATATATCCATCCTTAAAAGTTGGTTGTTAAAAAAGAAAGTGACATAAAGATATACATATATTTTTATTTATTAACTAGCGACTCACCCTCGCTTTGGTCGGGTTCGTCCCTAGATGTTTCTTTAAATTGACAATCGTATGTGTATATTACAAGACATGGAGATAAACAATAGCATTCCCAAGGAGAGTTGACGTCAGGCAGGCGTGAGGCGGCCGGTCGTAAAACTTTTGCCAAATCCTATCAGCAGTACGGAAGATGTACGGCGCCGACCCCAAGTGATTGGGAAACGGGCAGGGATATGATGATGATATTACAATCATTAGTAGGCAGTAGTCTGACTAAATTGTATAAGCTAATATTAGCTCTCTTTCAAGTGGAAGAGAAGTAATGCTTAAAATGTAAATATAGTATTGATTTTGCTATTAATATTTTCTCAAAAATTGTAAATTGACGACTACAAAATATAAAATTTTCATTAATTTTTCAAGAAAGTAAACGACTTGTATGACAAATTCAAGAATAATAGCATAAACAGTAAATCAAGCTACCATTCTTGACTTCGTTGTTTTTTAACAGGCTCCGCCAATATAATTAGCCTTTAGCCTGAAGCAGTAACATATAAAATATTAATGATAGGTATATGTATTCATAAACGCATGAATGTTTGAACATGTATACCTCAACGTTTTGGTCAGCTCGCGTCGAAGATAAGACTTTCGCTCTGTACCACTTCTCATCTGAATACAGCGCAGCCACCAGCTCGCCGGGACAGGGCATCATCTGAATGAGTAATTAAATAAAAAAATCTATAATTATTTTAATTGAACTGATAATTATTATAACGGAACTGCGTCGGTGGCGTAGTGGCCAGCAAGTACGTCTGTACATGGAGTGGTCCTGGGTTCGAGTTCGTCGGTCGGGCGAAGTTTAGTTATTGAGTCTTTCTGTTTAGTAAGTCTCAGTATAAGCCCGGAGTTGAGAAGTTGGCGGTGTTTCATCCCCGTGAGTAGAAAAGCATGTAAAGCCGTCGGTCCTGTGCCCTAAGTCTCATCGGTCGTGTCTCGTGTCGTCCCACCGGAGTGTGAGAGTGACAGGAATAGAGAGTGCACTTGTGTCTCTCTCTCTCCCACACGCTGCACTATAATATCTCCTGCGCAGATGGCTAGTCTCAATGAGACTGGCCGCCGTGGCCGAAGTCGGTCGGGGGGTCATTATTTATTATTATATTTATTGTAGTGGTAGCTCATTGGAAATACTTTAGTTTTTTCTTTATTGATTTTTTTTGTTTCGAAAAAACATTTAAAGTCCTACCCCAACACGCTTTGAATAAGACTCGCGCCCAGCAGTGGAAATTTAAAGTTACGTAATTGCATTATTATTAAAACAAATTCAATTATGAGGTAAAATCTGTATGGCCGGGAAATATAAATAGCTAACTTTTTATTTTATTTAAAACTTATTCACTAAATTAAATTCTCTATCTCTTGTCTACGATAGGAGTATAAGAAAAATATATTATTAAAAATATAATAAATATTACCACATATGACCTGTCAATATCAACTTATCAACTTTAGAGTATTTTGTGTCGTGCCAGCGGTCGTGGGTTCGAGCCCCGCTGGGGGAATTCATTTGTGTGATGAGCACGAATATTTGTACACCAGTCATGGGTGTCTATATTTATAATATGTATGTATTTAAAGTAATATATGTGTTGTGTATCAACTATCTGGTATCCATAACACAAGCCTCGTAGCTTACCATGGAACTAGATGGTGCTGTGTTAATGTACTAACATATTTATTATTTATTGCCAAGCACTGCCGACGATGATGTCATACAAATAATAATATACTATACCTTGAGAGGTTTGTACGCTGCACGAGTCGCCTCGGAGTTCATGTCTAGTATGAGCGCGTCTAGAGTGGTTGGTGGCAGCACTACGCCGAACCTCGGTATGGTTTCCTTTACTGTACATAAAAGAATTAATTTTATTATTTGCGTACAACTAATTATTTTTGTAGTTATCTTATCTGTGGTACGTTTTGGTTACATTGAATATTTTTAACTAACTTTTGTCTACAGTTTTGTATGTTAGTATAATTACTTTTCGCAAGCTATTATTGTAATAAAAATGATTAAATATTATTACCTACGAGGTGAATGGAATTCAATGGATTCGAAGTCAAAGCGCTGTAGTGTTGTCTCGTGACCAGTTACAGTTATGCAAACATTAACTATTATATATATATATATATATATATATATATATATATATAAATATATATATATATAATAGTAATTATGTGCATGAAAAACGCTACAAATTATAGAGTACAGAAGCCAGGACTTCAAATTATTGAATGTTGGCAGATAAGATACTATTCCTTCCACTTCAAATTATCGAGGGGATCAATTAATATTGATTTTATTCAATTTATCGAGTTTTTCAGTTACTTCAAGGGACGGGGGAAAATTTTTAAATTATCGAGATATTCAAAATAACGAGTGTCAAATTATCAAAAGTAGACCGTTTATCATACAATAAAACAGTCTCACCGTCGGGCTGTCCGTCCAGCAGGTGCACGTAGAAGCGGTCGAAGTGCGCCACGAAGGTGACGAGCACGCGGCGCCACGCGCCGGGCGCCGGCAGCGGCACCGACTTGCACTTCACTGGCACAGACACTTTATCTAACGTCCAACCGTCTGTCGCGGCGAATGGTTTAATCGGACTACTATTGTATATGGGGCATTCAACGCCAAATCGGACGGTTTAAAAAAAAAAATTGGTTAATATTTTGGTGTTTTCTAGTACGCTTCAAAAATTTTAAAAAAATGAAAAAAATATAATTTTTAAATATCGAAAAAATATCAATTATGAAAGGCATAATTACCGGACTAGGCTTAAAAGTTGTATGATGGATAGAAGTTTTAAATAGAAAACTTAAAATTCAAAAGTCTCGATTAAAACATTTTAAATATATTTTTTTATGTAAAGATTTTTTTTATGTAAAGATTTTTTTTAATAATAGTTGAATTTCAATATTTTTTTTTCAGAATTATTGTCATCGAAAAACAATAATTTAGAAAAAAAAATTGAACTTCAACCTTTATTAAGAAAGTTATGAGCAAAAAACCAAGAAAAGAGCATTTTTTTTTAAATCGATATTTTTGAATCAGTGATCAAAAAAATCTCAAAACTAACCGTAAGCCTCTTTTTAACAGGTACTAAAAATACCAAAATATTAAGCAAATCATAAACAAAAATTTTGAAACCGTCCGATTTGGCGTGGAATATCCCATATATGCGAATCATCGATCAAAAAAGTACTAGATACACAGTCAGCGACAGCAAATGCCATCACCGAATGAGCGCTCATTCAACATTTGAGCGCGCTCTTAATTTTTTCGTGAAAACAACTTTAAGCATAGCTATTAAGGTTCAGTTTATATTGTTGTATATTTATTTCAACTAGAATAATTACCTAAACACAATTGTTGCAAGTTTTAAGAGAACTTTTGCATGGGATTGTGTATCTAGTAGATACTTTTTTGATTGATGATGCGAATGTTTGTTTTTGCGTTCGTGTCTCTCATGTGTTCACTCACATACATACACACACACACATATACATACACTGACACACACGCATATACACTAATAAAATAATAGTCCTTTATCTAACATCTAACCGTCTGTCATGCCAAATGGTTTAATATTTATATATGTACCATGAGACTCGGCAATGTTTATGTATTAGCGATTTACCCTGGTTTCGATCGGATTTGTCCCTACGTGTTATGCCAAGTACATATATGTATGTATGTGTATATTAAATTTCATCAAAATCTATCCAGCCGTTTTGGAGTAAAGGATAAGAGACATTAACACACAAATATTACAATAGTAGTACAATGTGAAGAGGATACCTATAAATTTATAAATAACTCGAGTATAGCGCCACCTATCAGGTCTAAATCTTACGATTTTTTTAAGCACTAAACAATTATATTGTGAATATAAGTTACTATAATAAAAGAAAATATTTGCTAAAAAAAATCTTTTATCGCCATTTATTTGCCAGGCCCAGGTTGTGACCCAAATTCATTAATATTTTTTGTATTTTTCAATATTTACGAAAAAAAAAAACAGTTACATTTAAAAGTTATTTACACTACTTGTACTTAAGATATTATAGATGTTTTATACTGAGGTGTTACATGTATTGAAGGTATAGTTGTTACAGTCTGTCTCTCCCGTGACCATGGATGCTGTAAAGCATTCGAAACGTCAGGAACCAAAAATCAAAATAAATCCGCGAAATAATACGAAAAGATAGTTTTATATAGAATGTCAAATATTCGCGTAAATCTAAGAAATTATTATAAAATAAAATTAAAAGAAATGTGTGTATTACCTGGGTGTTTCCGTATATGTTTTTTTGTACACCGTGAACCTTTAAAGCAGGTCTTCTTTGATCCTCCTTTATAATGTTTGCAGATGTCTATTTCATCTCGATTGCTATAGCCCTAAAAAATAATAAAAATATAAAGTCAAACTAAAAATAGAAAGACACAACTATGGTCTAGAAGGATTCCACGCCAGTTATATTGAGATTGAAGCACACCAAATATGCCAACAAGCTCATACATACACGCCTTATGCACACACTTGCGTCATTAATACATAATAATAATAAATATGTTGGGATAACGTAAGCTACCAGGTCTGTGTTATGGATACCAGATAGTTGCTACACTACACATATTATATAACTTGAAATACATACATACATATCTATACATATAATAAAATTGTAACTAAGCCGAATCTGTACATTAAATATTTTTTGGAAAATCTTACTGAAATAAACATTATTATCGATACAGAGACCGAATCTAAAGATTTTAGAATTTTTGTCTGTCTGTCTGTTACCGCATCACGGAAAAACCACTGGAGGGATTTTGATGAAATTTGGTATGATGATAACTGGTTATCCGGGTCAACATATAGGATACTTTTTATTGCGAGAAAAAAATCTTGTCTCTGAGAAATCTACACTAAACGTTAAAACGTAAGTAGGGACGAACCCGAGCGGAGCGAGGGTGAGTCGCTAGTTATAAACATAAACACTCATGACTGGAGTACAAACATTCGTGCTCATCACACAAATGAATGCCCCCAGCGGGACTTGAACCCGCGACCGCTGACGCACTAAGTACGGTCACTACAAACTGAACCAAACGTGTTGTCAAATATATATGGTACATATGTACATATATGTCCAAATAGACATATTCTTTGGAAAAAAAATACATTCATCTGTTTATTTAATTATGCGTAAAAGGAGGTCAATCTAACAAATATATTTTCGCATTTAAAAAAATAATCAATAAAACATTTAATTATTACCGTTACAGCTTCAACGGGGTCGTCATATTCTGGACCTTCTGCTATGTTGAAGTTCTCTTCGGCCAATTCCGGAAGACCTTTCGCGTCTTCTGTTGATTCGGTAGCTGGAAATATGTTTTCTGTTTCATTTAGTAATAATAAACAATGGTATAATATAAAACTGAAAGAGGTTGTTTGTTTGTTTGAATGTGCCAATCTCTGGATATAGAGGTCTTATATGAAAAATTCTTTTGGCGTTTTAAAGCTAATTCTCCATACACTTTCATCCCCATTTACACCCCCTTAACGGATGATTTCCGGGATAAAAAGTATCTTATGTCCTTCCTAGGGCCTCACACATCTTCTTACCAAATTTCATCTAAATCGGTTCAGTAGATCCAGAGATCGTCACAAACTCACAAACGTTACCTCTTTATAATATTAGTATAGACAAGCGACTCACCTTAAGTTTCGCTCTAGTGCATCCCTACATACGTTTTAAATAGATGAAAAAATTGTTATCGTAAGTATATTTTAGGTAGTTTTTTCCCATATAAAACTTTAGTCCCTATTTCACCTCTCACAAGTTTCCGTAAATATCTATATGTATAGCCCTTTTTAATGTCTAACTGCTGGGTACAGGCCTCCCTTCAATGCGAGGGGGATAAGACCATAGTCCACCACCACCGCGTCCTTGACCACTAGAGGTCTAAAATTAATTAAGAGCATAAGTATAGCCATATAAATCATACTTACTTGTTAATAGTGTTTCTCTTTGGGATAACAACTTATCATTAACAACTTCTCCCGACCAATACATCAAGTATACGTCAAGAGATTCCGATGAGCTGGAAATAATAATTTTGATGAGTATTTAAACTTTTCACTTTAAAATCGGAAACTCAAAAGCTTTTATTGGTGCTATACATAACGCATATGTCACGCAACAATATGCCATTTTCAATCTTCTCTCATACAATATCATGATGCATCACACACAAAAAAACGTGTGTGTGCGTACTTATGTACGCAAGTAAGAAGTTATACTTCTTTGGCGTAACAGAAAAATAGCTAAAGATTTCATCCCGTATGTCACAACTCTCTTTTTTTAAAAGGTATGGTAAATTAATAAAATAATTAAATAAGGCATATTACAATCATACATTCATATAATATCGTTTATGGTGAGAATATAATATTATATATCTGTCAGACAATAAAAACGGTTATCAGCTAACATCACCATGTCGCTTTTTGGCTGTCGGTGTGCGCGTGCATCGTAAAAATTTTACTCTCATATTTTTTTCTAAACGTCCCAAAAGAAGTATAAATTCAATAACAATTAATTAAATAAAAACATTCTCAACAACGAACCTTTTTATGACCTTATTAAGTAAATTAATTACTAATCTTGAGAAATTTTAGCAGAAATCATAATGTAACAACGTTACAAAACGTATTCTGATTAACTTAAACCTATTTGATATAATAATGATTTGATTTTCATTTATTTTATGAATGGCTCTTGTATGAATTTATAATTATGTATTATAATCTATACATATAATAAAATTGTAACTGTCGAATCTGTACATTAAATATTTTTTGGAAAATCTAATTGAAATAGACATTATTATCGATACAGAGTCCGAATCTATAGTTTTTAGAATTTTAGTCTGTCTGTCTGTCTGTTACCGCATCACGAGAAAACCTTTGGACAGATTTTGATGAAAGGTATGATGATAGCTGGTTATCCGGGTCAACCTATAGGATACTTTTTACCGCGTTAAATTTCTCATTTCTGAGAAAAATACAAAAACTACAATGTAAGAGTATACTAATATGTAAAACCTAAGAATTTGGTTTTTGGCCATCTGAACGCGGGCGGAGCCGCGGGCAATGCTAGTTATTCATAAGGTATTAAAATGTCTTACTTATCATCTATTCTGATGCGGCACGGTCCCCCTATTAGTTCTTTGAGGATCATTTCCTGTTTTTCCATCAGATCTGTATTCTCTGGGTCGAGAATGTCCAACTGTAAAGTTATATTTATCAAGTACTAGCAAGTAGTTTGATTCCCCATACAAACTTTCATCCCTGTTTTCAACTCCTTAAGGGATAATTTCCGGGATAAAAAGTATCCCATGTCCTCCCCAGGGTCTCAAACTATCTTCTTACCAGATTTCATCTAAATCAGTTCAGTAGATCCGGAGATTACCCCCTACAATGTCACATACTCACAAACTTTACCTCTTTATAATATTAGTATAGATATCATAAAAATGGCTACTGAGAAAATATACTATTAAAGCGTCTTAAACATCTCAACACTTAATAATAAAATTGAAGTGTCTGTTTGTTAAATGTCAAAATAGGAGTTTCTTACTGAATGTCTATTAAATTATATATGGTACTTTTAAGAAAAACTCAATTTTTAGATTTTTTGTCTGTCTGTTTATTCCGACTAATCTCCGAAACGGCTGGACTGATTTTGATGGGACGTTCACTGGCAGATAGCTGATATTATAAGGAAAAGCTTATGCTATTTTTATTTAAGAAAAAAATTAAGGTTCCGCTTAAAAAAAACGTACCTAGGGATGCACCCGAGCGAAACGAGGGTAAATCGCTAGTGCCTAATAATATGACGCGCTACACAAGGCGATAGCAGTTCGATTCCCGTCAATAGTAAATGCGACCTGCCCTCGCTTCGCTCTTTTTGTCACTTTTATAATGTAAAAATATCCCATAGAAACCACATCAGAAACCTGTCAGAAAGGGATAATGTAACTTCGTAATAGAATAATTTTCAGAACCAATTCATTATTGAGATTAACAAGTACAAACAGGCAGACAAAAAACAGTTTAATATAGCCTTCATAAATACCAATGTGCTTATGAAAAGTTGTAGTACTATCACAGACAGACCAGATTATTATGTAAATATAGATAAATAATTACCCCCGCCAGATGGCAGCAGCGTGCATACGGCGGTTTCTTACAGAACATGGGATCCAAGGGCTGCATATCCGCCGGCGACACCTGCCTCGTCTCCCCCGTGTCCACTAGAAACACCTCCGCCACGCTCATGTCCCTCTGGTATATAAAACATGAAATGCATACATATTTAAAATAACAATACACTAAGTATATAAAATACTAGCAGAACCCGCGGCTTTGCTACAAAAACTCTAAAAAGGTAGGTTTCATACGAAATTTCATCCCCTATTTTACCTTCTTATGGGGTGAATTTCTAATTGTATTAAAGAGTATTAATACAAAGTTTCAAAGTAATTCTGACCATAAATAATTTTTTAGGTTCTATTATAATTTATAACGTGTTTTCCAGCGGGAATGAGATAATCGCCCGCGGCACAAAGTAGCCTATGTCAGTCTCTATCCTTCCAACCATCTTTATACAAAAAATCACGCCAATCCGTCACTCCGTTTCAACGTGAAAGAAGGATAGACAAACAAACACACTCACATTTATAATATTAGTATGGACTAGCGACTCACCCTCGCTCCGCTCGGGTTCGTCCCTTCTTACGTTTTGACGTTTAATATAGATTTCTCAAAGATGAAATATTTTCCCGCAGCAAAAAGTATTCTACATGTATGTTGACTCGGATAACCAGCTATTATCATACCAAATCTCATCAAAATCTCTCCAGTGGTTTTTTCGTGATGCGGTCACAGAAAGACAAAAATTCTAAAAACTACAGATTCGGCCTCCGCATCGATAATAATGTCTATTTTAATCAGATTTTCAAAAAAAAAACATTTAATGTATGACTTAGTTACAATTTTATTATATGTATAGATAAATTTTAAATGTAAAATTGTGACCTTCGATGTTGGGTTTACGATTATATCTAAATAACTAAAATATATTTCTAATAAACTGACATTGTTAGCTTACTAATTAATTAAAAAGAAAAACTGTTTTAGATTTGGTTTGGATGTATGAATGTTTGTTACACAATCACGCCAGAACGGCTGAACGGATCAGGATGAAATTATGACATCGATTATATGGAAAAGCACATGGGTTACTTTTTTATTTCGGAAAAATGTAGGATCTCGTGGATAGATTTGTTTTCGTTTTTCACTAGGGACAAACGCGAGCGATGGCAGGGTGAGTTGCTAGTTTTAAATAAAACTTTAACCATAATTGCTGTAAGGCATTCGAAAGTCTCTCAATTTGAAAGTTTCTCAATTAAGTTCTTTTTCTCTTATTTTCTTTATATTTTTAAATTTTATTAGTGACTAGCAGCTCATCACTCGGGTGCATCCCTAGGTATGTTTTAACAGTCAGTATGAAATACAAATTTTTGAATTTCTCGGCTTTTCTATACTATAATATGCATGTATTATACATAAAAACCTTCCTTTTGAATCAATCTATCTATTGCAGATAACTGCATTAAAATCCGTTGAGTAATTTAAAAGATCTAAGTGAACAGACAGCGAAAGCGACTTCATTTTAAACTATGTAAAGATTTAATTCATTGATAAATGAAACCCATAGTAAAAAATTAACTATAAAATATATATTTACTATAAAATATAAAAGTACCTTCAGGTTTACTAGGAACCCTCTATAGTAGCAGTCTTCAGTTTCATCATAAACAGCACAGTATGTGAGCATCTTCAGCTCCTCTATGCTCATTTCTACTTTATGTTGTTTGTAGTATTCAGTTATGGTAGTCATTAGGCTTAAAATAATAAAATATTATATTGAAATATAATAAGAATATAAAAGGGACCTTTATGGCATTCTACTTCTTCTACATGTACAACTTTTTCTACACTAAGACATTTTTGCCCATTGTGTGTAAGCTTGTGTTATTTTATGTGTTTGTCCTTTGCCTAGCATTAACAGCAATCTGGCAGTGGTAGCCTAGTAGTAACGCGCTAGCTTGGGAAACCGATCAAATCAAATCCCGGGCCTCCTCACACCTCTGATATATTCATGTGCGAATCATTTCCAACATGATTACCACTTGTCTTACGGTCAAAGAAAACATCGTGAGGAAACCTGCGTGTCTGAGAGAACCTAGCAAGTTTTCGAAAGACATGTGAAATCTACCAACCCGCACTTGGCCAACGTGGTGAACTATGGCCATCTCATATTAAATGGAGGCCTGGGCCCAGCAGTGGGACATTAAAAAAGGCTGAATACAAGGTTGCTGCGCACTATAAAATGAGTATATACCCTAAAATGTCATATATCCAAGATATTTGTAGGTAAATGTCACCATATAAACACAATGCCAATCATTGAAAATTAACTCATGTTAATATGTGTCAGATAGCAATTTTTACTTTCAAATATCTCAGTAATGTGACACCTTAAGTCATCATATTGGATATTGCTGATATTATTTGTTTGAAGTGTCCTATATCAATAATTAATATCAGTCTCTTATGCACACTTATTTGAAACGAAAATAAAATAGTGGCAGAGTTAATGTCAGCTTCAAGAGCAAAATGCTTGAAGCTATAATAGTATAGTAAATATTTTATTGTATATTTGTATATAAAACCATTAATATATGTATAAGATATAACATTTTTAATAATTAAAAAGAAAAAAATTTTGTTACAGTTATCATAATATTTTAATATACCATTTAAAATATTTTCAGGTTTTTAGTTTACTTACTACAAACAAAAATACAATTTTCTTCTCTATAATATTATAGTACAGATATGTGTCATAGAACATGCACCGAGGAGACCTGGTTCCTACATTACCTAGTACATATCTAGTTCTGCAATACTCCAGAAATCTAAAAACCAGCACTGGTTCTACTTCCCATAGTGCCATCTCATAAGCAAATATTCTAAATACATAATAATTCATTTACAAACTTACTCAACAACTTCATTTACATTATCAGTAATAACCCAAAAGGATATTCCATCAGTATGCATAATAGTTGCCGTGTATACATGGTCTATTTGGAGAATAGTTTGAGCAGGTAACTTGCATTCTTCATAATTATAGTCTATAAAAACATTTAAAAAAAATATTTGTAATATTTATATGTAAAAATATTTAAATTAAAACAAAGAGAAGAGAGAGTGGCACTTTTTAAAACTAAAGTACAATCGCAAATTAATACATAGCTTACCTATATTCAATTTCTTAACTTCTTCTATTAAATTATTACAATGTAACTCATTTTCACTCTTTGGCAGAGGAACACTCTCCGAGGAGCATGAAGTGCTTGAAAAAGCAATTAAGAGCTGGTCCTCCTTTGGAACTTTTGTTTTTACAGGTTTCTCTTTGCAGTAATTAGTACACTCTTTAGAAGTGGATGGAATTGGTTCGCTCAATGCATCCATTAAATTGAAGGCACATGTTTGTGATTGTGTCTTTAGAGGGAGACTCGATATGTCTTGAACAGGAGTAAAATCTATATTGTTTGTTGAATCTAAAATAAAAAAATAGTGAAAAATAATTAACTACATATAAAAATAATAATGAATCTTAAAAAAAGAAAAATGCAAATTTACAATACAATATGAGAGTTGATAATAATTTTAATATACAATTAATTCATTTTACTTTTCCAAAATTGCCTTAGCATACTTACCTAGTTTACTCATTGCAAGATTAAAATCTGTTACAAGATATGTAAATTCATCTAGCTGCTTCATACAACTGAGAAACCTATCCTTTAGCTCTGAAGGCTCGCAATTTAAATTATGTACGAAACTTTTTGCCTGAGAAAAGAAATTTTTTTTTGTAGTGGGTACCCCATATTTAAATAATTTGTACATTCACAAAATTTTCTTTTATTGAATTGTGCTCCTATAATTTTAATAATTCAGCAAAAACTTTTTTGAAAAATGTTCATATACCTGCAATTTCAGTTTTTTTAAATCCCGAATAGCATGGTCACATTTTTCGAGAAATGAGTTAATTCTAGCTTCCATCTCATGCCGGCGATGCATAGTTAAGGTTGCAAGATCTACAAAACTCCTAAAATATAAAACGAATAAGTTTAGACAAACCAATGTTATAAATGAAAACAACAAACAAGCACTTTAGAAAGTGACGATACATTTTATTTCGTAATTTGATAATTGGACGAAGCAGAAAAATAATTCCTTATGATAAACAATTCTTGTAATATTTGCAAATGTTCATTTGTAATAATGTAATGCAAATTGAAATTTTGCACCAATTTGGTTCGAAATGGTGTGAATTGTGAACCATAGAGTATATTGCTACATATATAAATTGTGAACTGATCTAAATATCTCAAACCCAGCAGTCAGCTTAGAAATAAATCTGACGACTGACAAGCGACAGACACGCACAATGTTACCTTTTCAGACACTTTAAAGTTAACAGAAAATAAATATAAAAATGTAACAAAACAATAAAATTAAAAAAATTATGCAATCATTTAATCTTTTAAATAATTATGCTTAATTAAATTGGGGAAAATTATTTTTCTGACAATATTTTATGTTTATTCGTTTTTTAAGTTTTTTTGCAAGTTAAAGGTGTTTTTAAATAAGATTGATTATTTAATACTTATTTTATTATTCCCCATTGTTAATGGGGAAGATTTCTCGAAAAGAGGACCCCACACGTATAGCCTAAATAGGCTACGAACCTGTGTGTAATGTAAATACATTCAGTCTGAGGTTAAGAAATTTGTTGTGATATCTCTTTTATACCTGGTTTTGCTTCTATTGTGTTCGCATCTTACATGTGTAATATATTGTATCTAGAAGTTAGACCAGCTGAAGGAAGAATTGAGAAGGAGAGGTGCATCCTGCGGTGGTCCTGACTGACTGATGAATCATCATGTACAGCCTGAACCGCTGGTCGTAGAAACGTGAAATTCAGAGAACGTATTCCATATATGATGTAGTCATCCGATAAGAAAGGATTTTTCGAAATTCATCCCCTACGTGGGTAAAATAGGTTATTAAAGATTGTATGAAACTCTGTCATTCATAATGTGAAATACACAGAAAGTGGTGTTTAACTTTAAAATTAAAAATAACATATATATTTATGTGATTTTTTTAATTTTTGAAATTGATCCCTTAAATAAAAGGTAAAAGGGGGTAATAAAGTTTATATGGGCAAAGAATTATTTATGATTAAAATAATGTCCACATAGCCTTAAATATAAAGATTGTAATTTCGCCAATTTTTATCGTCTTATTGCCTTAGCCCACTATTTCTTTAGTTTTTCACTTTTGGGAAGAAATGATATCCATTTTCTTTGCATCCTAGTACTGCACAATTTGTCATTTTAATTAAATTTAAAATAAAACGAAAAAAAAACCATCCTCGCTATAGAACTTTTCAATATACTGAGGGCTATCAGTTATAGTGATCGCGACATCTGGCGGGAGAATAAGGCAAAATTCTTCCTCATTGTATGAATCAAATTAATGTCCAGTTCCATCTAGAGGGGAATAGCTAAAAATAAAACGATAAAACGTTACAATATCATCTTTAATCATTTGTCGATAGATGGCGCTAAGCAATGATATACAGAATTAAATATTTTTTATAAAGACCATTATCGTCATAATATTTTATTTCTAAGGAATAAAATATGTTATCGTTATGATACCTTTGTAAATGTCGCTAAACAATTATGAAGGCAATGATTAAGTACTTAAAGTTTTCACTAAAATTTTCATTTTTTTCAATTCCTTTTATAACGCATCATACGTTTTCATTTAAAAATATTAATTGGTATATAATTTAAAATTAAAACAACTTTAACCTTAAATAATTACAGCTTCTTTTATATACAAATATATAAAGTAAGCCTTGTATTTTAATGAAAGCCGACTTGAAAATGCTAATTAAAATAGGCACATGAATACGTTAAAGTAATGTATGAAGGTGATCATTAGCTGGACGGGCAAGTTACGCACAGCGTTTCAATTAATGTGACCAGCAAACTAAACAAGAGCTGCATAATAAATTCAGGAAGGCCCGCTTCGCGCCAATCTAATTGGATTCAGGGGCCCGCGCAACCAATTAGTGAGAGAGATGCATATATCGATGTGTTCTACGAATAAGGGCTAAAGTGCGAAATCATAATTTTATAGGAGAGGCTTTCAACTTAGTAGTTTTTCTGCGATAACAGTAGGCATACGTTAAGTACCGGATGTAGCGGGTTCGAGTACCACTCTCGGCATATGTTTATTTTGGTCATATAAGTGTTTGTCACGGTATGACTGTGTGTATTCACGGAAACCTATTCAGAACAGGACATCTTTAGGGGACTGTTGAAAGTGTATTTATTTACACAATATTTTTTTGCAAATTTTTAAATTATGATATGATGTACGTCGCATGTCTTCATTTTTTACTTGTTCAAGTAACATTCATTTACTCAGTTTTGATTTTCTCGAGAGGAACATGCAGCAAATATTTCAATAGGTTGGCTAAGTTTTTAATAGTAACAAATATAAAAGTTTTATTTTATATAAACTCATGTAAAATTTATATCTTATGTAATCTTCAGTAACATCTATGTATGTATATAATCAGAATTTATTAAAGTGAAAACTGTACGACATATTATGTAAAAATCTATTAAAAATATAAATAATTAACAGGACTCTATTAGAGCTTATAACATATAAGAGTTTTTATTTAGCTTATACACTATGTTATCTCAGTCTAATGCATATGGGATATAGTAATTATTTTTACTTTAGTATTATGAGCTGATGATGAAATTGTAAGTGTAAAATTTTCAGTTTCCGCTATACGTTATCCGCCTCATGTACAACTATCGTTATTTTCAGGTTCTCCCTTAATTGGAACTTTCTAAGACTTCTATTCACCTGTGAGTTGTTTTAAATTGTCTTCAAAATAATACTTTCTTAGATTATTAATAATACTTTCTTACTTTCTTAGACCTCAAATCCTGGCGAAAAAAAACCGATATCGCCCTAAAATGATTCGAGAAGCTATAGAAATTAAAAAACATCCAAATTTCAATAGGGAAGATGACTGGGTACTACCATCGTCATGGGATCCTGTTATTAATATAATAAAGTCAAATAATAAATATAAACATAACAGACAGGTAGATGTAGTAAGTTCTTACTGTGTAGATCAAAATGACAGCATATCAGATTAATATTTTTAAAATTGTAATAATTATAAGAATAATAGCAAAAATTAAATAAGTAATATTCCATATTCAATTATAATTAAAATTATAAAAATGTTTAAAGTTAAAAAATATTGTAATGTGATTGGTGCAATTTTCATTTTGTTCATTGTGGGTAGGCTGTCTGTAACAACTATACCTTCAAGACATGTAACACCTCAGTCTCTCCCGTGACCATGGATGCTGTAAGCATTCGAAACGTCGGGGACCAAAAATCAAAATAAATTCGCGAAATAATCCGAAAAGATAGTTTTATTTAAAACTGTCTTCAAAATTTAATCGGGAAGTTATTTTGCCCTTTAGATTTTTCTTTAAATAAGTTTAAAGAAGATATTTATTTTGGAAAAAAGAACAGCTTTTTTAAATCATATCTTTACATATTCGTAATTTTTATAGCAAATTTTTATGATTATATTCTTCTTCTATCCATGTTCTTTATATTCCTCTAGCCTAACATTCGTACTGTGAGTTATTAATATTGTTGAAAGACGTTACAGGTATATAATAATTGATAGACGAGAAAGAAAAGTAGCAGATTTTCCTCATGTAGGTATAGTAAGTACCGTATTATCTGGTCCGCCAAGTAGGTCTAGTAGTTACGGCTGCAGGTCATGTGGTCCCAGTCTCACCAAAAAGTCTTATTTAAAGTTATATTTTCTTATTTTTATGATAAGGCCACTTAGAGAATAAAGTTCATGAACTCTGAGAAAGGGAGCAGTGTAAGAAGAGTAGGAAGGCATTTGTCCTGCAGTTGGACACCACAGGCTTATAATAATAATAATAATATAACTAAGAACATGCTTATTCAATTCACATTTCAAACAAAGAAAACTATATTAAAATTGGTTCATCAAATTATCGGTTTGGGCGCTACGATGCTATAGACAGATATACAGACACACATTAAACTTATAACTACCCTCTTTTTACGTCGGGGGTTAAAAATGCTGTTAGAAAAGTATGTACAATTATCTCGTACTTATAATTACATTTTAAAAACTATTTTAACTACGTCTTATTATAATTATTTTTACTAGCGTGAAAATCACGTTCATTTTACAAGACTCCATTTTCTAGTGCTAGCGCTTTGTTTTTGAAGTGGAAGCAAATTTATTGCCCTAATGAGAGAGAGTGTAGTCACATTATGATATATCTATGTTAGACGTGAGCCTTTGTAATGAAGAGTGATTTGTTAGAGCATCATTCTATAGAGGCTGTTGTGACTGATATTATTTAAATGGTCGTTTGCGATTGTATTTATTAAGTAAAGCACAAACAGATCTATCCCACGGAAACCGTTCATTATTCCGGGATAAAAAGTAACCTGTTGTTTAAGCGGCAATATAAGGTATCAGCATGCCAAATTTTACTAAATTAGGTGCATAAGTTGTTGTATACTAAGCTGTATAAGTTACTATAGTTTTTTTACAATCCCTCGGGAACTATTTAATTTTCCGGGATAAAAAGTGTCTAAGATGTTGCCCGTACAAACAAACAGACAAACAGACAGAGAAACAAAAAATTTGAAAAAAATCTGGATTTGTTCTATTTGTCTTCTTACATCCCCCTGACTCGGTTTTTAGCATTTTTTTGCTCTGTACAGACATTCGACCTCTACTGTTTTATTATAGTATAGATAGATTTTCATTTTCATTTCACTACGACAAGGTATTTCACAAGTTTCCGCTTGCATGCGATGTAAGACCAGTAATATCAAAATGAAAAGGTTAAAAAAGTTCATTGAGGCTTATGATTAAATGAAATTAAAGCTTTATGCATAGGAATACACATTTATAAAAAATTAATATACAAGAACAAAGATCGTCACAATGCTTATCGTATGCACACACCTACATTATTCGATGAATAATAAAAACACTTGTATTAAAATCGAAGTCAAGTATAATAAGAGTCATAAACGCACTGCGTGTAAGTATAAACTTAGCCAGGCTATAAGTTTATGAATGTTAAAAGTTCGTGAAGTCGGTAAAGCTCTAAGCTGTTAAGAATGTGTATCGGTGATTATTTCTGATGGGCGTTTTGCGACTGCTAGCCATTTTTATCATTCCCCAGCCAACTCGCGCTAGAGGCGGCCCCGCGCTATCATTACCACTGTACCGGCACGTTTAACTTAATTTGAAGTAATACCCTAGGACAGATACTTACTTTGATCGATGTTAATGGCCTTTATTGATATAGGCTAGATGTTATAGTTTAGTAGTGGTTAGGGCTCGTAAATTGCGTTAATATCTCCATTTCACGCGCTCGTGAGATCTTCAAATTGCCGGTTGTTACACGTTTTGAGTTAGGTGTCTGATAATTCACGGGCATTTACCATGAGGATGGATGTCATATGCCATGGTAATGATATACTTTTACTTGAAATGTAATAATTTTCTGCATGGCTACATTTATTTTGCGAGATAACTACTGTATTAATTCAAATCTTGTTATATAGCCAGCCATCTTTAGCGAGTGGCTGTTATTACACATACTTTACGTTCTCATGTTTTTGTTTCATTCGTGTTTTATAGTTGTAGAAAATCATACAGAATTAAAAAATAAATTTTTATTTTTCTAGTTTTATGCAGACAAATAATTTCTTATTTCGCTCATCTATTTGGTTTAATATGCATCGTCATAAGTTCGATTGTTATTTACGGAATATGGAAATAGGGACGAGGAAGGTTCATCCAGATAATATACCTACATATGTTGATAATAATTGCTCTAAAGCTGTCTCAGCTAATACGATGATTCTAGAAATAATTTTAGTTAACAGTAACATTACTTCCTTTATTAAAGACTGGCATTGTCCGCGGCTCTGCCCGCGTTCAGATGACCAAAAACCAAATTCTTAGGTTTTACATATACTAAGTATACTCTTACATTGCAGTTTTTGTATTTTTTCTCAGAAATGAGATATTTTCCCGCGGTAAAAAGTATCCTATACATGTTGAACCGGATAACCAGCTATTACCATATCAAATTTTATCAAAATCCCTCCAGTGGTTTTTCAGTGATGCGGTAACAGACAGACAGACAGACAAAAATTCTAAAAACTATAGATTCGGTCTCTGTACCGATAATAATGTTTATTACAATAAGATTTTCCAAAAAATATTTAATGTACAGATTCGGCTTAGTTACAATTTTATTATATGTATAGTTGTAGTTAAGATCGGTCACAGTTTTTTTTAAATAGATATGTAAACAAATATGTATGTGTAATAATATCGGTAACAAAAGCGATTTGAAAACTCTTTAACACTTTGTAATCAAGAAAACTTTTAGTGGCCTCAATTAAATTTACTACTTCATATGTGCGTGTGTAATTAAATAGATCATTACTGGAGGGCTAATTTCGTGGCTAATTACGATTACAACGGCTAGGAATCGTAAGCGTTAGCGAGTTGAAGGCGTCAATCCGCCCCGAGGAGCGTTTACATTGCCAAGTGCACTCGCTTGTTACTAATTTACTAAATTTATAACAATTGAATATTTATTTATTACGATAATATAGTAAAAAATTATTTGTTATTTTTTTTCTAGTACTATTGTAATCGTTTCCTTATTGATTTAATTTAATTGTACTACAATGATTTTAATAATATGTTCTAATTAATTTAAGTAATTATGTACAATATATGCACATTGTACATTCAAATATTCAACGCAACTTATTTATTTTTATACATTTCTTACTTTACAACGAAAAAATAGAATAATTTACCATATGTAATATATTATTACAGTTTGTAACTTGTCTGGACGTACTTTTTATAAAGAGTCATTATTGACATCTGAAATAACTATGAATAAGAAAATTTTTATCATTCGTACCAGCTAATAAGAAGCACTGGATTAGTTTGTTTTCTTATAAAAAAGCTAGCGAGATGAACAGAGCACTGTCGGCTTGGAGTCTGTAATTATTACCAGTATCCAGCTGTTTCGCCCGTGGCCCATAATTAAAACATAGTTAGAGCAACGGACGCCTCAGATTAATGTCTTAAT